AGTAGGTGGTAGGTGGAGTACTTGTACAGCAGTGGCGGTCCGAGCGCTGCTGTTTCTCTCTGCCGCCAGACCCGTGAAAAAGAAAGAAAGCAAAGAAAGAAAGAAAGAAAACAGACAACCCAAGGGAGGGATGGGAGGACGGCACGCCGCCACCACACAGGGATTTTAAGGAGAGGTGTGTGGTGCGCTAGCCGTCGCCCACCCTAGGGAGTCTGCCTCTTCCTATCTCTCTTCGCAGTCTCTCTCCGATTCTCGCTGCAACCTTCAAGAAAGAAAGCAGAAAGAAAGAAAGAAAACAGACACGCCAAACGAGGGATGGGACGAGGACAGGGTCCCCACCTGCACGAGCAGGATTTTGGAAGGACGATCAGGGGGACAGGTGGGGCTCTCCTGCTCCTGACAAGGGACACGACAGGCTCGCAGCGCGGTGCGCGGTGGACTCCCACATCCACTGGCGGTCTCATCTCAGTCTAGCGACCTGCCTCCAGCTTGTCGCTGGCAGTCTTCATAACAGACAACCCAAAGAGGCAGGAATTCTTATTTCGGGGTATTGTAAAATTCTTATTTCGGCCTCTCGCCGCATATGTCGGCTGATCCCGACCCGCACTGGGACATCAAGCTCGCCACCTTCGGCGTCGCCTTTCTTGGCTGCTTCCTCGTCTCTCTCCTCGCGCGCCTCGCCAGCGATGCCGCTGGCGTCGACGTGCCGCTGCACATCCGTGAGCAGCACTCCCGACACACCTCCTGTCCCTCACCCTGCAGCCACGCCCTCCCACGCCCACCGCCACCGTGCCGCGTGGCGCGTCTTCGCTCGTGGCCCGCCCCGACACTCTCTCATGGCTCACTGCCTCGGCGTCCGGGACGCGCTTCCGCTTCGGCAGGTGGGCTCGCGGTGAGCGGTGTGCACGCGATTGTGGTGGTGAGCACGGCGACGCTCACTTTCTTGCGCGGCCACGGCGACATCGGCGTCGGCGGCGAGGAGCCGCTGCTCGGCTCGCTCGGCCTCTGCGTCTCGGTCGCTTACTTTGTTTGGGACGTGCGCAACATGCTGCGGACCGGCCGCCGGCCACTCTGCCGCTACTGACACACCATGTTGATCTCTGAAATTCACCTTGGCGTACTCAGGCCGCCCGCCGCTTGTGCCGCTGCGGACGCACCGACGCTCCTTGTTCTCATCCCCGCCAGCCTGCTTCAGGCTACCAGCCTCTCGTCCCGCTGCTCATGCACCACGTCATCTCCGGCGCGTCGATGAGCTGGATCGGCTGCTGCGTGCCGCGAGATCACCCCCAGGTTGACCGAGGCTTCCCGAGAGTAGGCGCGTCGATGAGCTGGATCGCCTGCTGCGTGCCGCGCGCCGTCTGGCACACGTCCCTCCTGCAGATGTCCGTGCGAGGCGACCCTCCAGTTGCATGATCAACTACTCCCCGAGTTAGGTACACCTGCATCCTGCAGATGTCCGAGGCGACCGTCCCCGTCAACAACCTGGTCACGCTCTGGGAGTGGCGCGGTGCGAGCGCGCCTTAAAGACCCTCCCAGCACTCCGAGACACACTCCACTTGCACCGCTGTGGCTCCGCTGTGGCACCGCTGTGGCACCGCTGTGGCACCGCTGTGGCACCGCTGTGGCACCGCTGTGGCACCGCTGTGGCACCGCTGTGGCACCGCTGTGGCACCGCTTTGGCATATCACCGCTGTGGCACCACTATGGCACCTCCGAGGCGCACTCCTCGCCCCGTCGCAACAGGCGCGCACGACCGGCCGAGCTACACGCTGCTGCGCTGGCTGCTGCCCGCCTCCAAGGCGGCTAATTCCCCGGTCCATGGTGAGGGAGGGTCCGCTTGTGAGTCAGGCTGCTGCTCGCCGCGTGGCTGCCGATGCGGCTCCTCCTCATCGCATACTTCCACGTGCCTGCTCCGCCGGGCGTGGGGCCGGAAAGGAAAGAGGGTCGGTGGAGCGCACGAAAGGAGGGCTTGCGAGCAGGTGCCGGTCTACCGCGAGTGGAGCGGCATGAGCCTGCCCATGCACATACTCGCCCTCAACGGCCCGCTCTTGCTCACCTTCAACTCAGCGGCACTCGCTAAGGTCCGTCGCAGACCGGCCAAGATCGCCACGAGACCGCGCGAGATGACGCGAGATGGCGCGAGGCTGCCCGAGAGGAGGCAGTCGCGACCCGTCACGCCCCCCTCCCCCTGAACAGCTCCCTCTCCACGGCTCCCTCTCCACAGCTCCCGCCCTCTCCACGCTCCCGCCCAGGTCGTGCTCGACGGCTTCCCGTGGCTGGCGCGAAAGGGGGGCAAGGGCGAGTGACGCGGCGGCGCGTCTCATGAGCCGATTGGGCGGCCTGCCCGGTGGTCAGCACCGCGCGCCACGCCAGGCGAGAGACGCGCGGCCCCCCGGCGTTGCCGCCCCCGCGGTTCTGGCCCCTCTGCTCTCGGCCCGCTGCGGTCTGCAATCTTGCGGTGTGGGTGTTGCGTGCACGTGCACGGGTGGCGTGTGCGCGCGCACGTCGGGCTCGTTGCTTCTGCCGGCGCGTGGTTGCCGCTTGGGTGGCGTTTGAAACGTGCACGATCGTCCTCGGCGGACCGACTGAGGACGTGCTTCTGAGTTCTGTGTTTGAATTCCGTGATCGAATGCTCGAGAATGTGCTACTGGCCGTCCGTCTACCCGACCGTCGCTTGTGTAGCGCCACACCGACTAGTCTACCCTCTCAGATCCATGTGCATGTGTGGGACTGCGCTGCCGTTGTACTTTTAAAGGGCTAGTTCCATTTCACTGTGGCACAGCTCGCGTTACAAAACCTTGATTTGACCATTTGCGCCATTTTGTCCCTCTCGGTGCCTTCCAGAGGCAGCTGCGACCCCGCCGAGTAGACGGCGTCACACAGCAGGTGGCGCGGTGTGACGCCGTCCAATCGGCGGGGTCGCAGCTGCCTCTGCGCGTCCTGTGGATGTACCTTTGTCGCGCGCCGGAAATGACTCGACTCCGCTGAGATCGGAGATTCAAGCTCTGACAGGTCGCACGTCGCTCCTTTGACGCCGACGTGACTCACCCGTGCAGATCACATCAAGACACTGTCTCGACGCGCTCGGTACGACGCCTGCGACCCGTCTTGGGTCAAGTGACACGACGCTCATCGCGCCTACCAGCGCTGCCGAGCGAGCTGCCACGACGAGTTCGAGCACGCTTCTATACACTCGCCCAGCCTCCCTTTCCATCCCATTAGGCACCAGGGGAACGGTGGCGAGCAGAGGCAAAGCCTACGAGGGGTGGTGGAACCACATGTCGCGGCTACTGCCGGCTCGACCCCACGATAGCCTCCGAAGGCTGACTTTGAGGCACCATCATCGGACGATGTCGACGAGTTGGGTCGCTCTCGCGGTAGCCAGGTAGCCCCCCATACTAGTAGCACCGGCCATGGCCGCAGGAAGCTCGGGGGAGGGCGCTGGGAGCAACACGGAGCTCCGTTGGACGCGTTTTCAAGATTAGCGTGTCAGAGTGAATTGGAACTAGCCAAGACGTATTTTGCGGAGACAGCGCGCCCCTCCACGTCCACCTCGCGCGCCCGCCGCGCGGCGGGCGCGCGAATACCCCGAATTATCCAAAAGATACTCAATAACGATGATCGATGTTTTGGGGCGGCAGGCCGGCGGCGGGCGCGGGGAGGCGCACGAACCCAGGGAGTTTTGTTGTCGTAGTGGCAAGACGTGCTCTCGACAGCTAAGGGCTAAGTAAGACGCGCTCATTGTTGCAATGTCATTGAGGCAGGAAAGAGCTCGCCGAGGAGTCGAGGGCTCCCGACCACGCCGGACCCAGCCAGGATAAGGCACGCTTGCCTTAAACTGCCATGAAGAGCACTAAATGTGCGATAAAAAATCTGTTGAAAGCGCCACAAAATGTGTTTGAAAAGCGGGCGAATTACATCTGAACGGAGGAAGAATCTCTCGCAAATGAACAGCGAAGGGCGCAGTGAAAAACGATAAAACAAATCTTCAAAGCCTGTAACCACCCAAGACAGCTTGGAGAGCTCCCGGTAACGCTACATTTCGTAACGATGGTCGCTAAACGACACTATTGGCCATCTGCCTCCTGCAGCCTCTGTTGGGGCGGAATGCGCGGGGTTTTCGGCGCGATGCCTCCGGCTAGTACACGGTACTGCTCTGCCGCAAACTCTCCTGCGCTCGCGTGACGTGTGGGGCGCACGCACTGCGCTCGAAAGTCGTGATTTGGCAATAGGCGCTCGAGCCGGCGCGCAGTGGAGGGGGCGCCGCGCAGGGGGATCGGGGGGGTGCGAGAGGGGGCGTGGGTCGGGCGCGCACCGGCCGGCTCCGGGAGCGGCCGTCACGTCGAAGAGGGGACCTGGTGCTGCTCGAATGACGACGCATGCCGCTCTGCTGCGCCGCCGATAGCCCCTCTTCCGAGCCGGCGCGTGGCGGCGGGCCGCGGCCAGTATCGCTGGTGCGGTGGAGGCGGCAGCTTGCATCGGCCGGCAGCGGGTGCGGCCATCACGTCGATGAGGGGGGGTTGTCGGCGACTCGTGTGGCTCGAGGCCAACGCTGCGCCGCCCAAGCCCTACTGCCGATCCAGCGCCTGGCGTTTGGGGCGAGCCGCGGTCGTCGCTGATGGTATATGGCGGCGGCGGCGGCGGCTCGCCCTTCCCTCCGGCCGCAATTCCGATCCCGCGCGCTCGCGGGAGGTGGCGCGCCCACCGCAACACGGCCGTGGCTGCGCATACACCTTACGCCCTTTCTCCTCAACGGCTATCCGTGCTTGCTGTGCCCCTGCGTGGTGTGTTTCAAGTTCTTACAACCCAAGGTGATAGAGGGCAAAAAGATCGATTGCGCTCTTGCCGATCCGCACCTACCTAGGCTCTTGGGTGGCGCGCCCCAGCTCTTCACAACAAACCTGGTTCATAGTTACCCGGGTAGGCACCCTCGGGAAGGCGGCCCCCCGGGGCGGACGTGCTACAGAACAAGCTGACGCGGGCCCAGTACCTCGGCAGGAATGTGGGTCAGTTTCGACGACCCGCTCGCGCTCCTCTCCAAGGTTCTCGCTCCGCCATGGGAGGGCGAGCAGCCGGATGAGCTCCCGCACACGTGCAAGCCGGCGGCGTGGGAGCGGCAGCATGCCTGCTCCCGGGATTGGGAGCACGACCTGCTCTGGTGCGGCCGCGCAGAGGGTAGTGTCGCCATCCACCGCTTCAGGCTGCGAGATCACGTGTTGGCTCGGGAGCTCGCGGCGGGCATGCAGGCGCTGGCGCTCGAAGAGCGCTCCCGCGGCAGCTCTGGCGATCAGGCCTCGAACGTCGGTGGCTTTCATGGCGCCCGCGACCTGTGGGAACGGCCCGAGGTGCACGAGACTGGGCTGCCGCAGCTCGTGCGCTGCGCCGTGCGCCATGCGGCGGCCGCCGAGGCGGCGGCGCTGCGGCGGCCACCGATCTTCACCACGGCAGACGAGGCATGGTGGAACGCGCTGCCGCCGGGCTGCTGGAACGCGCTCCACACACACGCGGGCAGCACCTACTCTGGCGTCGTGTATGCGAGCGGCGGCAGCCCGCGTGGCAGCCTCGCCGGCCGGCTGGCCCTGCTGCCGAGCGCGCCTCAGTCGCTCTCGCCCGACCAGCGGCAGATTCACGTGCGCGCCGCCGCCACCACTGACGGGCTGGCAGCCGCGCCGCCGCTTCGCCCGACGGACGCGCCGTACCTGCTTCTTGAGCCGGCGCCGGGCACGTGCATCGTCTTTCCGAGCTTTGTGCCGCACTTTGTGCTCCCGACACCGGCGGCCCGCGAGGCGGCGGCCGAGGCGACACCCGAGGCGGCGGCCGAGACGGCGGCAGAGGCGGAAGAGAGTGGGGAGGTGCCACTGCGCGTGAGCCTCGCCTTCAACTTTGGGTCCACGGAGCCGGTGATGGCGCAGGTGTTCACGCTGGGCAAGCGAGTCCGGCTCGTGCTCGAGGCCACGTGCTGAAAACGTTTTTTTTACTGTTCTCGACTGTATGCGAGAGAGGGTGGAGTTAGGAGTAACCAGTAACGATGCGCAAGGCCAATTGCGCTCCGCGCGTTGGCGTCGGTGTTAGGTGGCGCGTGGGTGGTGTCGTAGCCGCTGAGTAAAAGGGCGTCTGGCCCCCGAGCTCGGTCTTCTGTCACTGGTTCTGTGTTCTCTGCTAGGGTTGTCAAACGTTAAATTTGGGGCGCCTAGGCCTAAGGCCTAACAGTTGCGCTATTGTTGGCTGAAATCCTCAACGTGTTGTTCAAGTGTTCATCCCAGCCCATGCTGTTACTGTTTGTTACTGTTGTTACTGTTGTTCAGCGGCCAGCAAGCAGAAAATGGCAAAAACCCGGGGGGTAAAACCCGAAAATACCTGGGATTTTCCGGGTATTTTCGGGTATTACCCGCACTGGACACTAGAGATCATCGTGGGTCACTGCCAGGCCTTCCTTACTGTTGTTCAGTCGGCCTAACGTTAGCTACTGTTGTTGGGGAGCCCCACTGTTGTTCTGTTGGTACTGTTAACACTATAGCAACACTGTTCAGCTCTTGCTGCTGCTGCTGCTGCTGCTGTTACGTCTTCGGTCCCCGCGGGAGGCCCCGCGCATAGGACAACAACGTCTGTCCCACACACACACAGACGCGCACATACATCATGCTCGGGCACACCCCACAGTGTAGTGGTGTGAGTACACAAGTACTAGCAGAGTGCACACCTGCCTTGGCGGGTGAGGGTCGTAAGAATCAAAGCCTCTTGGTGCCAAAACGTGCTCGAGCGCGCCGAAGAGAGACGATCTACGCTGAGGAAGTTAGCGAAAGTCGCACGGGCAGAGGGGAGACCGAGGCCTCCGGCAGTCCGCACCGCCTCGCGAAAGGGAAGCAACGATCAACTCCCGATTGGACTTGTTCAGCTTCTAACGTTTGACAACCCTATTCTCTGCTGAGCAGGGCAGGGCAAGGCGGGGCAGGGCCTGATGGAGGGTGTAGAGGATGTAGAGTGTAGAGCGCTGTAGAGCTGTAGAGATGTAGAGCGCTGGAGAGCGCTGTAGAGCGCTGTAGAGCTGTAGAGCTCTACAT